CCAAATTAGCCCGATTTTTCAAAAGCCCTAGTAATGATGCCAGATGAGCCCCAAATTAATCACATGGTCCAACCATGGCAATGCAAAGCCGCCCCTAAAGTTTCTTCTAGTTTTGATGCAAATTAGAGAAAGCAGGTAGAAATCAGTTTTCGGCCCAGGCTCCTAACGTGTCCACAGTGTACCATAGTCAATACTCTATTCTGGAGACTTCCAATGACTATGGGACCACCACCAATAGACTTGGGAGGTTAAGAATAGTCATCATGCCAAATTTTGGTTCAATCCGACCCCTCTGGGGTTCTGCTGCCAAAAATGGCAGGTTTCTAATGATTGACGGTAAACCACAATTGGGGAAACCTACTTTGGATGCCTCTAGTGACCATGGGACCACTACTAGTGGACTTTGGAGATTAAGAATATTCACCATGCCAAATTTTGGTGTAATCCGACCCTCCTAGGTTCCGCTATCAAAACATGATAGGTTTTTAGCAACTAACAGTACACCACATTTGGGGAAACCTACTCTAGGAACCTCTAATGACTGTGGGACCACTACCGTTGGACTCGAAAGGATGAAAAAAATTTCCACATCAAATTTCAGCTCAATTCGACCTTCTTAGGTCGTACTTTCCACAATAGACAGGGAGTTTTACTATTCATGTATGAACAGTTGGGACAATTACTATTTATAGTAATTGTGCTTCCCAAGGGGGGGTTGGATTTTGTGATGCCCATAACTCCCTTACCTTGAAGCCAATGGCCCCCAAATTTGGGCATATCATTCCCCTCACTTAGACCTACGCTTTGGTGCGTGGCACGCACCGTGACGTGACCCGAACACGAAGAAATCAATGAAAGAAAATTGCAAGAAAGTGGTGGGAGAAAGGCAGCAATTTCCGACGACATGCATGCTTATTCAAGGGGCCATAACATGGGATTTTGGGCACTAATAACATTGAGAACGGGTTTATTGCGACCGTGACTCAAAGGGGTTCATTTTGAGTACTCATAGACTCAGAATGAAAGCCCGGAAAACATCATATCAAGGTTAGAAAGAAGGTATATTTTTCGACACTAGAATTCCACTTTCTGTCAACCTTCAATTTTGTTAAAGTGATCAAATGAATACCAAATCATGGGGTTTTTATCACAAAATGATCCTAATGACTTCCACAACAATTTATGATGAAAAGAATGACAAAAAACAAGGCAATACGAGCATGGTTCAAGCAAGAAGAAATCAAGTTTATGGGTTTTGGCTGGAATTCCAAAACATGGCCAAAAACTCGTCTCAAGCTGGTTAATGGGTATCAAAATGATCTCCTCAACGAGCTTAATGTCCCAATGGCATTTGTTCAATCAAAAAGTACCTGAAAGACGCCAAAAGGAAGCTCGAAGCATGCCCATGGCAAAAGGCCCCTCTTCGAGGGATGGTTTACCATTTCCAAGTTTGTGGCTAAGGGAAATTTAGTCATTTTTTTAAAAAACGGGATTATTTAATTAAATCATTTTATTTGTATTTTTCAATAATTTTGCCTTCTTTTGAGCACCCACCTATGTTTCAAGGGGATGATATATAAGCATGTTACACTCATTTGTAACCCTAAGCTCACAAGTTATAAAAAAGACAGTGTTCTTGAGCTTGTTTTATTTGTGCATGCTTTCTTTTCACGTTTGAGAGAGAGGAGAGAGAATATTTGTGTCCCTTTTGTGCTTTGCCCCTAGAGCACCAATCAACCACCGAGTAACCTCCCTAGTCCATAGCCCACTTCAAACCATAGGTCCCTCTCCTAACCCTCTCTACCCAACCTAAGTTTATAAGCCCTTACCTTGTTTGCACCATCCCCGTGAGAAAAGGACTCGAAGCGGCTCGGTCTATGTAAACAGACCTCCTCTTTCTTTCTCTTTTTTTTTTCTTCTTACTTTCCCTTCTTCTTCCTCTTCTCTCCTTCTCTCTTATGGACTAGCAGCTGGTCTGTCACTTTTACCCCCCTCTTTCTCCTTTGTCTGGTCCGGTAGCCACTGCTGGTCCGTCACTCCTCTCTCTCTCTTATTCCCTTCTCCTTCCTCTTCTCCCCTTCTTCTGGATTGGTAGGCACTGCTGGTTTGTTACTCCCCTTCCCCTCTCTTTTTCGTTCTCTCTCTCTCTCTCTCTCTCTCTCTCATCTGGACCGATAGCCACTATCGGTGTGTCACTCTCCTTCCTCTCCCTCTTTCGTCATCTCTCTCCTTTGTTTGGATCGGCAGCCATTGTCGGGCCGTCACTCTCCTTCCTCTCCCTCTTTCAACCTCTCTCTCCTTCGTCTAGACCGGTAGCCACTGCCGGTCCGTCACTCTTCTTCCTCTCTCACTTTCGTCTTCTCTCAGTCTCTCTCGTCTGGACTAGCAGCTACTGCCGGTCCATCACTCTCCTTCCTCTCTCTCTTTCGTCTGGACCAGCAACCACTGTCGGCCCGTCACTTTTAGCTCCCTCTCTCTCACTCTCTCTTCTCCCCTCATCTGGACCGGCGGTCACTGCCAGTCAGTCCCTCCCCTCCTTGTTCTTCCTCTTCATCTTCCCCTCTTCTCTCTTTCTTCTAGACCGGCTGCCATCGTCGGTCTTCTTCTTCTTCTTCTTCGATGCTTTATACCTCTAGACCGCATATTGTAGAAATGCAATCCAACCTCATCTTATGCTTCTTTGTCGATGCTTTATACCTCTAGACCACATATTGTAGAAATGCAATCCAGCCTGCATGAACCATCCATACAATGGGAGCCGATGCACAATCATGATCCATACTGAGATCCTCTCATCCTTCACCAAGTGTGCTGATTTTTGTCAATCCCATATGGGTTTCAATAGGGCTCCGGGGAACAAGACCGGGCCGGGCCCCCCAAGTAAAAATTAAAGAAGATCAAAGTTAAAAAAAATAATTACCAGGGCGGACACTCTTGCCTTGGGCCAGCCCGGCCCTCATTCCACATTTTGTGGCCAATGCATAGTTAGCAAGTCGGGGACTATCAATAAATCAACTCACCATAAAATCGGAAACAAATCATTTTTATTTTAAAAAATCGGATGAGAAAATTGGGTAAAAAATATAGATCGGCAAAAATACTTCATGTAAAGATATTGCTAATATATTGGATTAGGTTCAAAAAATCGATGTCAAAAAATTGGATAAATTTATAATATTAGAAATTTTGAAATTCTAACAATAAAAATTATATCAAAGCCATCAATTACTAATTCACCTATAAAAACTTTACTTGAGTAATATAATTAAGTCAATTAATTTAGATGCTTCGTGAATCTCATTTAATCATCCAATATTAAATATATAATTAACTAGTATATACCAAAAACAATGTACCATATAAATCTACCTGTTAAATACTTTAAGAAACATCACACCTATACTTATGGCATACAAAACAAATATACTATATAAATTAATTCATTAAATTACTTTAACTATGGTACAATGTCAAATATACTATATAAATTTATTTTCTCATTACAACGAATTAACTATGGTATGGTGACTATGATCACTCTATAACTAGAGTTAAAGTTTTATAAATTTTTTTAATCTAAAAGAGGCTCGTAGAAATTTGGGTTTCACTTATGTATTTATGGTTTAGAGAGAGAAGAAGGCTTGTAGAAATTTGGGTTTACATTTGTGTTTACAGTTTAGAGACAAGAAGGAAGAAGGAATTGGGTTTCACATTTGTGTTTATAGTTTAGAGACAAGAAAGAAGAAGGAAGAGAAGAAGAAGAAGAAGAAGAAGGAGAAGGAGAAGGAGAAAGAGGAGGAGGAGAAGAAGGAAGAAGGAAGAAGGAAGAAAGGAAAATAGGGCTGGGCTCATAACCATTTGGGTTTATAGAGAGAAGAAGAAGGAAGAAGAAAGAGTTTATGGCTCACAAACCCTAATGGAAGAGAGAAAAAATGAAGAATCCTAATGGAAGAGGCCCTAACTTATTTTTAGAGAGAGAAAAGAAGATGGGATGCTGATTTGAGATAATTTGAAGAGGGTTTTTCTCTCTGATTTAGGATAGTTTGAAGAGGGTTTTTCATTTCTTGGGGAAATATGATAGTTTAAAGAGGGTTTTTCATTTTCTTGGAGAAACAGCAAGCAGAGCAGAAGGATTAAGTTTGGGGAACTAATCCTATATGTACAATTGCTTGCTCCTATAAGTATATAGTTTACACAATCAAAAACAAAATATTGATTATTTGGTCTTGTAGTCATACTCTCTGCCTCTCATTCATCAGTAAAAGACTATCTTTTGAGCTCTAATTTGTGCCATAAACAATATTTTCATAAAAACAATTATCACAAATAATCGCAGAAATATGCATGTATATCATTTCTTTACACAATGATTTACTTTACAGAATGATTTACTATAAACAGTATTTCATTTACACAATGATTTTCTAGAATAAGAGCTGAAATCTGCATCTATTTGTTGAGGTTTTTTTTTTAAATTCATACCATCAATCTTCAACTGTGGCTTTGAAGAATACAGTGGGGATACAAATTTCTATTTTAGATTTTTTTTTTTGAAATAATATTTGTTTTCAAAAGCACGAAAGTAGCAATAGCTGCAATACACAATACAGGAAAAAAAATATCAGTAGAAAAGGATACAATTTTTTTACCTGATTTAAATCATATTATAAAAAAAAGCATATTTTAAAGGTTTTATGAAAAATCCTCTATTTTTTGACCTTTTCAAAAGGTCGCCGTTTAAAACTGTTTCCATAAAAACTGCGAATTCTTTAAAACATCACCGATTTGCTAACTATGATCCCATCTGGGTTTCAATAGGGCTTAGGGGAACATGACCTGGCCGCGCCCACCAAAGTAAAAATTAAATAAGATCAAAGTAAAAAAGTAAAACAAAATAGTGCCAGGCATGACACTCTTGCCTTGGCCCAGGACGGGCTATCATGCCACATTTTGTGGCCAAGGGGCATAATTTCTTAGGCCCGGGCCGGGCCATGCCAACCCTGGGTTTCAATGTGGTACCAAAGTTTCAGACGCCCTTTCGTGTTGAATCTTCAGAGAGAATCTAGTGTGGTTAACAGGGGGGAGAGAGAGAGAGTGATGGGATGAATTTAGATACAGAGAGCGATGAGATGCATTTAGAGAGAGAGAGAGAGAGAGAGAGAGAGAGAGAGAGATGGGGATGCGTTTTTTGAAGCATTAGGGTCACAGGGAGGTCTATTCAGGAGTTCGAATGGCAGAAAATAATAGCGAGGACTCGTCGTCGCCACCTAAGAAGAGAAAACCCCGACTCATCGCTTTTGTAGGGGATTTCCTCATTTCTCACAGCTATGCTGTCAGGTCTGTCTTCAACATTGGAACTTTTTCTCCATCAATTTTCATTTGAGTCCTTTTTTCTCTCTCTCTATCATTTGTGGTTTGGCTGAGATTTGTGTGGGAAAAGCAGCGTGTTTTGTTGTTTTGCAGGCTCTGTCGCCCTCTTGCTCTTACCCATCCTCGCAAAGAATACCTATCTATCTGAGAATGCTCTCATGCCGGGTAAGATTTTTTTCGTGCCTTTAGTGAGCATTTCTTCTTTTTTCTCCACCTACTTTCTCTTTGCTTTTCATGTATAGAAATTTTTTGTTTCCTTAAATATCTTTATTTCTTTGTTCATGGAAATGTTTACAGCCAGTCATTTTTCTGTATATTTCTCTGGTTTTTTTGATTGCTTAGTTGTGGTCGTGGATGGTATAAGGTGAGCTCAAATATGTTTAACTCCCATATTTAATGTGTTTCTTTAGACTTGATTTGTATGATCATCGTTCTCAGTAATTTTATCAAATTTGGGGTCGCTTGGTTTTAACACTTCAATTTGACCTAAAATGCTGATAATTGCAACTAAACGATAAAACTTTGCATGTATCACATAACTATCTTTCTGTGATTATAGCTACCCAATTCATAAATCTCTTGTTAAATGCTGTAAATGCTGATTTTAGAATGTGAAATAGCATTCATATTTTGAACTCTGTGGCATAAAATGTAATTTTGTATAATTATGATTAATAGTAAAACAAAATAGTAATTATATGGGAGTAATTATATAATTTTTAATGGGTAGCATTTTACGCCGCAGTGACCTCTAACCTGTTTTGATAAGCTAATGGACCCTCCATAGCACTGACTGTTGTGCCACTGAATGGATTTTTAAATATCACTTTTGATAGTCTGGGACTCAAAGAATTTCGTATAAAAGTGTGACTAAAACCTATAAAACTTGGCTTGATGATTTTGGGTTAGCATCAGAAATGATGCCCCCAAAGCTTGCTGGTCTAGGGCTCCTTGGAGCTTCCATCACAATTGATCTTTAGCATACTTTAGGGAAGGGGAATCCCATTAACTATTCATTTGAGCTCTTGGTGATTCTTTTTTCCTTTTTTGGACTGGTAGCTCTTACTGGGATGTTGCTTTATCTTGTCTCTCTATGACCACTGCATTTTTTATCCCTTAATTACATTTGGCTTGTTGACGAGCCATGCATTGGGTTTTGTCTATTCATTGTAAGAAACATGATCTCTTCAGTATCCCGCTAAATATTCTGTTGCATCAATCCTAGTGATACATGGCCATATCAAGCAAGAGTTAAGGGTTTCTTGACTTGAAGAACAAAGTGTCTTGTGTTCTATGGTGGATCTTGCTATTCACAAAAACCAATGATGTGGCAATCATATGCCCATGTATTAAGCCATGTGCCTCATAATACTGTCTTGTATAACTAAAGGGAAAAAAAAAAAAAAAGAAAAAGAAAGGAAAAAAGATGGCAACTAAGTTGTGCTTGGACTGCTTTTTTGGAGTTATCATTCCATTAATCAATATGGTGTTATTTTCTTTTGTATTACTTTTAAGGTTTGTCATGTCATTAAATGATCAAATATGTAATAGTTTTTTCCATATGAAATCCACCTCTCTATCTACTTGAAAAAAGTCCATTTATCGTTGTTCTTTGATTGTTATTATACAACAGCATATTCACATGGTTTCTCATAATTGCTCAAGGTGTAGGTTAGATGAAGGTAATAATTTGGAATATTATCTTCTATACTATTGTCCTTTTTGAGGGCCTCTATTTTGTTTTGTGGCGAACCCTTGATGCTAAATAACATGGCTTGTTTGCATTCTAGGAGAATTTGGTTCATGTTCTTAGATTGTCTTTTATTTTCGTGTTGAAATTAGTAGTAGGTCTTACATTTGGCATTTGTTGTTGACATGTAGTTCAACTTGGACGAGTTCATGTTTAGCATTAACGTACAAGGTCCTTATATTTTCTTTTTTCGAATGAAATGGTACCCCTAAAAAGTGTCTATGACTTAGTTGGGTGATTTGAAATTGATGCTAAAATAAACGATTGAAGCATATCAGTTGCCCTTTTTCTATTCTTTATTTTCTTAAGTGTACTGAAAATCTTCATCCACAATTTTCTTTCCTAAGGTTATGGGATTTGTTTTGTTGGAACTCTTTGAAACAAGTTTTGTATAGATCCTAGAGACATTGTATCTTTCAATATGTGCAAGACTTTTGAATATGCACAAGGCTTTTGATAATTGCACAGTTTCTACTTATATTTACCGATTTCTAGATGCTCTTTCATGTGCATTGCGATTTACTACTCTCTTTGTGTGATACTTTCTTATAGTATTTTAAACCTAAAGGAAGCATCATGCTTACAGGTTCTGCAAAACCGACATTCTCCAGTCAAGAGGCAGTGACAGCAAAGGAATTGATAAAAGAGCTTATTGATTGGAAAATTATTCGGGATGAAAATAGAATGTAAGCACTTGGACCACTTTGAATTTGTTGTTAGATAGCTTTCACTTTCTTTTATTTTCTAACCTTGTAATTATTATTTTTGAGTATCTAATCTTGTAAGTCCTTTTCTTATATCAAATTATCAGCACACAACTCCGTTTTTATCTCACTTGTCCCTTAATATTATTGCCATGTTATTATTACAGTTATTCCATGACCTGCTCTTGATTTTGATAGACCAGCTACATCACATTTCCTTTTTACTTGTATTTGTCAACAAGGCTTTAAAAATTCCAAAGACTTGACCTTTTACCTCTGATCAGTGACTCAGCTTGGCTTGGTAGGTTCCTGAGCTGAGTCATACAGGATCGACGTGGTTGAATCTATTGATAAACCAATAAAAAGAGGCTTGACTCAGTGGAGTCTTGTGATATTACAGGACACTTGCCAAGGTGTCGAGGCAATTCACAAGTACTTATTCAAATTGCATATTTGAATAGGGTAGCAGATTTTCACTATGGCATTATGTTTGATCCTAGGGCACTGACGGATACAAATTCTGAATTGACACTCACCAAATGGTCCGGTTGGAAGTTTTCGTGACTTATTTGAAGGGTGAAAGGCCCACTTGCAAAGCATGTTCGAAAAAATTGTTTGAAGTATCATCTCTTCGTTTGTCTGATAAATAGGTCTTTGCAATGATGTCAATACAATAAAACAATGCATACAGTGTATTGGTCTTATTTTCTGTGCTTGCTATTATTTTACTCATAGCACTATTTTGCTTGTTGTCTTTGCAATAAGTGGTGTACCTTATGTATCAATACGTTATTATTCTGCTGTCTAATTTTGTGCACAGCCAAACCCGTAAAAGTCTCTTGGATCTGATTGTTGAGAAGTCTAACCATGGGTTTCCTTGAGGCTTTGAAGGTTAGAGTCACAGAGAGCTAAGAAAGGTAATATGGCCAAGGAAGTGATTGCTAGAGCACCAAAGATATCAAAGGCGCACCACAGGGTTTTGGAGAATAATATGTTCTATGAGATCATAATTTACGTGAGATCAGATTCAGGATAAGGTATGGAACAACATTATTTTTGTGGGGCAGTGTGGTGTGGGAGGTCATGAGTTTACCTGCATTTGGCTGGACCGTCTTTGGAGTTTGGATGCAGAGGTGTTGGTTAAGGATTGTGTGGTGGTGGTGTGGAAATGGTGTGGTGCCCACATTGTAAAAGAAATGAGGGATACAGAGAAGGAAATTAGGTGATTTATTGAGCTGCTTCAAAGAAGTATTTATCTGTGGTTGCATTCCTGACAAAGGGGGCTGTTGAAGTGGGACAACTAGGATTGTTTGTAGATAAAATCCTTCTTAGGAGTGTTTCATGAAAGTGATGTATGGCAATTTGGAGACCTGAGCTATCATTTGGTTGATTGGCTCTTCTTGGTTAAACATTGCTATGGATCATCTCAAGAGATGGCATGGTAGACTCCGACTGTTTGATTTCTATATTGGTAGACAGGAGATTTTGGGCCTCGTTCTTCACTGTCCCTTTATCATTTGTAATATGCTCAAGAACATGTCTTTTAAGCTCAAGTCAATTGAGAAACTTTATGATCTCAAACATTAATACCTGGGCCAGGCGAACTTTTGCAAAGTTGTCCACTGGCTTCCTTTTGGAGCATCTAGAAGGAATAGATATGAATCTGTATTTGCAATGACATCTATTGTATTGTAGGAATTTTGCAGTATTTTTATCTTGGTCTTTGGCTCTGTTATATTTGGGCATCTAAAGGATTGAAAACTTATGCGCTTGTCATGACTAGTCCCTAGCCTTCTGTGAAGATGTGCAACATCTTTCATATGGTTCATGCTTATGGCTTCAACTATATTTGATCTCTATTATGAGCATAAAATGGTAGAAACTGTAGAAAAATTCATACAAGTCATATTGGTCAGTAAGGGTCCAGGAAGGATTTATTCAGGAACTTGATATTATCCTTGCTACTTCATGAAATTGCTACGCATGAGTAGTGAAAGGTCATTCATGGTTCCCTTATTTCCGAGAATTGAGGTCTGGAGGGAAAGGAGTCTATTTCTACTCCTAGCTGGCACTAGTTGTCTCAGGTGCTTCGGTGATCCATCCTCATATTTGTTTTGTTGGATTTGTTGGGAAGTTTTAGTGAAATCTCTCATACCTTTCATGGTATATTGCCTTCTGGAAGCATTTGTAATTTGTTAGCTTTTTGACCATACAGATTTTGCTAGAATACATTCATCCTTCATAATAATAAAAATATTCTTTTATAATATTACATGTAACTTTTTCTTGGTGGTGCACAATCAACACACACTGATGTTTTATTAATCTTGATGGTTCATGAATGCAGGCAAACCTATGAAATTATAGCCAATCACATGGCTGAAACTGGTGCTGATGTTTACTACCACAGTTTCTACTCTCGAAAAAAACAATTTCATCCAATGAGCTTCTTTATGGGGGCACCCATGGAGGATAATAACAATCATTCTTCTACACATGCCGTTAACTCGGTTGGCATCATAAGAGCTCCTCATGGTGATGGGAAGGAAGCAATTGTGTTGGTTTCACCTTACAATTCAGATAAAATGGAACTAAGTGATGCCCTGTCAGTAGGCCTTGCTTACTCAATATTCTGCCTCCTTGGCCGAGCTGCATGGCTTGCCAAAGATATTGTGTGGCTGGCAGCTGATTCAAAATTTGGAGAATATGCTTCAGTTGCAGAATGGCTCAAACAGTACCATGATCCAGTATTTATCGGAAAGAAATTAAATTTTCACCCAGTTGATGGGGATATTCAGTTTGTGAGGGGCATTTCAGAGGACTTTAAACGTGCTGGCACTATGGCAGCTGCAATTGTCTTTAAGGTTTTAGAAACATCACAGGGGACTGGGACGGATAATGTTAATATATATGCGGAGTCGTCTAATGGCCAGATGCCAAATCTGGACCTCATTAATATCGTGCATTATTTGGCAGTTCATAGGCATGGATTGCATGTTGAAGTGGGAAAGTTATCTTCTTTACTTAATTCTCTATGGCTAAAGATGGTTGGCAAATTTCTAGAAGGAGTGAGCAACATTGTGGGAAGCTTAAACCCTAAGTGGAGATTTGCACTCCCTGTACTGGATTATGTTGAAGGAACAGCTGTCCTTGCAAGCTCAGTATATCACCAGGTAGCTCTTCAAATTGTTGCTTGATTTTACTACCATGAATCAGTCTTTCCGATATAATGGAAATTCTTTTGTATATATAAGGTTGAGTTGTTTTGGGTGTGCATTTGTACCATATTATAGGCCCTTGGTGTGCCCACCGGTCCCCATGGTGCTTTTCGAGACTACCAAATCGATGCCATTACCCTTGAGATATCACCAAGAGTCTCTTTGAACAGTGAGATGGCCCGCTCTTCTTTTCTTGTGAGAGTTGGCAGGTTAGTTTCTGGTATTCTTTTAGCTCGTGAACTTTCCTGTTATGTGACAGTATTTTGTTGAAGTTTTGTTTTTTGGGTAAATGTATTTTGTTGAAGTTGCAATGCATTAATTTTTGTTTCTCACATTAGCATTGAGATGGTTAACGTTGATCTGCTATGAAACTCCAAGTTTAATGTTCATGTTTTTTCTCTTTCTTGATTTTTAGTTGTGATCTACAGAGTCTCTTTGGTGGTGCGACATTATGCTGCCTGTTTGGCCAACGTGTATATTATCTCTGCACAAATTGCATTTGTATTGGATGGGGTTAAAATGACTTTTCTATTTTTCTCTCACCTAGGATGAGTCTACTTATTTGGCATGCAGGCACTACTTTCTAATGTTCCAAAAATTGCCGGGCAGCGCCTAGGTGGCTGGGGGGTCCTAGTTACTCGGTGCCTAGGTGGTTGCCTCGCTGGCCCAGGTAGAAGAACAAGGGTAAGATGTGTTTGATCCAATTGTTCTAGGTTCAAATTTTGTGTAAGCAACGCATATTGAGGCATAACACATTAAGAATAGCTACACACATTAAGAATGCATGACACATAGTCCATCCATAGTCCATACACTTCATACCATTAGTCCATACTCCATACACTTCATACCATTAGTCCATACTCCATACAAGCAGTTAAATAAATACATATTGAGGTCCAAAATAATTGAGATTTGGACAATTAGTTACTAGCATATTAAAAGAAATAGCAAAATATAATCCAACATTCAAATTCAGTACTAGACATAACTCATGGTCCATAGTCTATACACACCATGCTCCATAGTCCATACACATACGAGGAGGAACAATAAAGAAAAAGAAGGAAAGAAATATGAACTTGGGGCCCATTTGGGTATCGGGATTGGACTATCCCCAGAATTGGCTTATGCTGGAATTGGTTTCTCTTGGAATTGGTCTGTCCCTGGGATAGGGCTGTCTGCTATTTGGATATCACCCGATAAGAAACATGGATAGTCCTGTCCACTGTTTGGATTGCTTGAAAGATGTCAATCCACGAAAATTCAGTTGTAGTTTTTGTATTATTACTCTACATTGAATTTTATAGAAGTTTCATTCAAATCTATTGAAAAAAGGATTCTCTCTTTAAAATATCTTTTAAAAATAGATATTTATTAATATATAATATTTTCAGAAAAAAACTTAATTGCATTGTGATAAGGGTGTTTTGCGGCAATTTTTGGGCCTTGGTTGATAAGGGTCCTTTAGGGTTGTTGATAAGAATCATTTGGGGCGATTCAGCTCTAAGTTGCATTTGGAATTATAAGTTTCTTTCTTCCATTGTTGCTTTGGATTTGAATGAAACGTTCGAATTTTAATAATATCTCTTCTCCCTCTCTCTTAAATCCTAGCACAATAAATTTTTTGTCCTTGAAGCTTTGGAAATCCATGGAAGATGTCTCTCTCTCAGAATGAGGGATTTAGATTTGCAATAAATTTCTAAGTATTAAAGCCAATGGTAACACAATCACAATGAGAGAATGCCATAAAAGGGAAAAGAGCAAGGATAGTGAGTGGACAATTTTAGATGTGAATTCAAGTCAATTGTTGCTTACTTTTTTGTATCCAAACAATATGAAAACCTAGCACAAGCTTTGCTAAGTTCAAGAGCATGCAATTCCTTCCAATAAAGTTAAGTACTTGTAATCTAATATGCTCTAATTCAAACCACAACAGAAATCCATTAATACATGACATTTGCAAAAACCAGGTCCATAAGGTGCGTAGGTGGTAGGACCTTGTCGAACTTCCTTGCAGTTGCCTCATTACCCTGAATATACTCCTCCCAACCAGGTCTAGATTTCTTCCCTGTATCTTCATCAAATTAGAAACCAGGTCGATCAAGGAGCTGTTTAACATTTATATACAAAAAGTTCAACGATTTAACCCTATATTTGAGTCTGTCTGCGGTGAACATATGCCCGTATGCTTCACGCATAACATAAGCTATTTCTATCTAGTCCTTTTTAAGTTTCGTAGCACCCACTTCAACCACGGTTTCAAACATGAATTTATCATGTTCGGGAGCCCAATTGATACGCCTGTAAACATCGCCACTTGCACTTTGTAGAGTAATTGGAATAAACATCTTGGATTTTTAATAGTATTTCATGTCAAGTATATGTATGCAGTAATGAATGACATGTACAAAACCAAATTCCCAAGAAACATATCAAATGTATGCCTATGTTTATCAATTCATGCTACCTCATTGATGAATAACATATAGCAATAATTATAGTACATGCAATAAAATTTCAAAACCTGTAACAATCAATGAAATATAGTACTATTCCATTCACACCTATTTCATACAATACACTCCAAAAGTCCATATCGAGATAAGGAGAGTTAGTTTGCACCGAGATCGAGTTTAGCGTAGAAACATACAATATGAAACATACAATATGATAACACGCATATGCATATAAGCACTGCTACGAATGTAATTGTCCTCAATGCATTCCCACTGGTAGGAACAATTACAGGTCCCCCATTTGTAGGAACAACTACACGTCAATGGCAACTTTGATAATCTCGAATCATACCACAACCTCCTCTATAGTGGGGTAGGAGCAATGCACGGCTTTTGAGTAGCTTAGCATTTGCTTGGACTATCCTGCCCACTTCATATAGACCCCAGGATTGTGACCAACATTCACAACATATACTCTTGGCATTTTCTGCAATATTGAGCAATGTATACACATGGGGAACATTAAAGCCATCAAAAACACATATACATTGATGATCACTCCATAAGTAAATTAATTAGTTACCAAAACTAATTGTAGATTCATTATTGTAATAACGTTTCATACCCATACATAATGCACTTTCAATACTAAACCAATTAGTTTTATACCATCAAACTGTCCAAGAAAAACCATCATGGTTATAACCATTAAAAAACAAAAGAGCATTCCTCATTAATAACACTCATAGTGATATCAAACAAAAAAGATTTACCTTCAAAAACTACAATGATCAACCAAAACTACAAGTTAATAACCCATCAAACAAAAACATATGTAATTCCCCATCACCAGTGCAACTTAAAAGCAGTTACACTATGCCCATCGAACATTGGGCATTTCAACCAAAAGTAGAAGTTATTAACCCATCATCAAGGGGGGTATTGACGGCACAATACTGGAGGAATTAAAGAGCATTAGTGCATCTATGGAGATGGTGATCAACCATGCACACCATACACATCAAGAACATATTCTGCTATGTTCTCTTCACTCATATTTAAGGATAACGTCGTCACATCCGCATCTTTGACAATTTCCTTAGTTGCAGTCATTCTAACTGTCTGTGTGAGCCCCTGGATCTTGTCTATGGCCTCGCCGACCTGAGCTGTGAGTGGATTGCCTGGTCATTATTCATCATCACTCTCAGATTGTCTATCGCCGACCTGAGTCGTGAGTGGATTGCTTGGTCGTTTATTCATCATCCACTCGTTAGCATCTGGATGATTCTGTATTTATAAGATATGAGATATTATTACATGTTTTTTGGGCAAAATAAAAAACAACTAAAATGTTAATACAAGTTTACTCACCTCAACATAGGTATCCCAAACGTCATCATTAATATGCACATGGTGCATGATACTGTCCCACCCAAAACTTCTTTGATTTCCCTAACTATCAAGTAATGAGCCTTCTAGGTCTTCAATTTATTCTTGAATTGGTCTTTTCTAATGTCCATACCCGTTGTCTTTAAAAACTCCCGCTCGACAGTGGCCCAATGTCCGGTTTAATATCTTTGCTAGTTTTATTGTTCTCCAAAGTCTTTTCAAACAAGATATCCAATAATGCTATCTCCATTTTCTTCGACCATATCAACCTTTGGGCCTTCGAAGAGGCCGATTGTGTCTCCACTACATCAATATCCATACCCAGTATAATAAGAGCTAGCATAAAAAAGCATACATACTACCAAAACGAGCAGTCACAACCTTCATACACAGTCCCATATATATTAAAACCCATTTCAATGCACAATCTTCAACATACACTTCAGCAGTATCCATGACATAATAAAACAAATAAAGATGCATACACAAACCAAGTATGTGCCTTCAAGCATAGTTCAACATAACATTTTATACAATCAAGGGAAAAGTACATAATTTAGGCACTATGGTGCTTATATTTTTCCCACATGCTCTTCACAATTTCTTCTTGGAATTCAGATAGAATGGGCCTTCGGAGTCCTAAAAAATCAATCTCCAATATTGAAAGTCGCGACCACATACCCATTGAAGACACAAGTGAAGATAGTCGTAGCTTGTTTCATCTTGCACAACTTTATCACGAGTATTGATGGTGCTTCTTCAGACGATGAGATGGAGGTCCCCCAAGACAGTGAGGAGGATGTTAATGTACCGACATTCGAAGGCTTTGGGAGGAGTCAAAGCGATACAGATGAATGTTCTGAATTCCGAGAAGAAATTGTGAAGAGCATGTGGGAAAAATATAGGTACTGTGGTGCCTAGATTATGTGCTTTTCCCTTGATTGTATGAAATGCCATGTTGAACTATGCTTGAAGGCACATACTTGGTTTGTGTATGCATCTTTATTTGTTTTATTATGTTATGGATATTGTTGAAGTGTATGTTGAAGATTGTGTATTGAAATGGATTTTAACATATATGGGACTGACTGTGTATGAAGGTTGTGATTGCTTGTTTTGGTAGTATGTATGTAGTTTGATGATAGTTCTTATTATACTAGGTATGGATAATGATGTGGTAGAGACACAATCGGCCTCTTTGAAGGCCAAAAGGTTGATATGATCTAAGAAAATGGAGATAGCATTAATGGATATCTTATCCGTAAAGACTTTGGAGACCAATAAAACTAGCAAAGATTTTAAACTTGTACACTGGGCCATTGTCGAGCGGGAGTTCTTAAAGACAACTTGTATGAACATTA